TGTATATACGTGTGTTGTGTCATAGCAATTGGTGTATTTTGGATTCATTGTGTTTACTTGTTGTTTTCGTGTCTTGTTGTTATTGCGTAATATTGTTAAATTTTCGTCGTGATTATTTCTGAAGTTGTTTCGAGTCTTCTACATCCATGAATGAATTGATTGATGTTGAGGACAGCAGATGGGTCGTATACGCCGGGGAGGCTAGGCTATTGCTGAGAATGAAATGCATACGGAGATAATTGTTAGCTGCGGTCCGACACGCCGGGGAGGGAGAGTGTAAACGACTGAGGCTCGCATGCGTCACCGCTACTAGAACTGAGGCAGAATGAGTGACAAGCGATTTCAGTGGAAATTGGTAATGAGTAGATAAGAGGATGTGCGTAGAGTATCGTGAGGTGCTGCCATGGTCACTTTGCATTCCGCAAGAGTCATTCTAGCAAGTGGCGATTGTGTTGCAAGATGTCAAGAGGAGGTCTCTATCTGGAGGCGCAGGTCGTCAGCGACGTGTGAGATTGTGCTGTGGGTATGCTTGTGGTGTGTTGGCTTTTCTGTTTGTTTTCCATTTCAGCTCTGTCCGTGTGACCCAGGTTCTCGCAATGGCATCCAAGTCAACGTGTATTGGTGGTGATGGAGAAAAGGGTTGGATCCCTTTTTTGCCGGGGAGTGTCAATGGAGTTGAAGATTGAACGATCAATTCTTGGCTGTTTGCTCAAAATCAACTTCCCCAATTTTCGCGGAGGCATCAATACGACAGTCATCGTCTCATCGGTCGCTGTTCAGAAAGAAGAGTGAAACATCGTCAGAAGTAATACAATGATTTATTAATGTAATATTTGTTCACAAAACTTAGTTCGCTTATTCTATATATTTGTTGGTGTAACAATAAAGAAATCTCAAGCGGCCAATCGGTGTTTTGGTTTTTTCGTCCGTTATAACTAAGCGTTTCTGAAATCTTCAACGAACAGCGTGGGCCCGAGCGTAGCGAGAGCTGGGCATTAACGGTTTATGAGACGTGATTAACATTAGGAATATAATAAGTCATAAGGAGCCGTAAAATGTTAGGTTTAATGGAATACAATTAGTATCAAGTAAAGACGTTATTGGAAAATGAATGAGATAAGACATTGTGAAGTGGTATTTAAAGATGAGACAATGGACAGCAAATCAGTTTATAAGGTGTCCCATAAATCTGTGCAGATCCCGCGTGGTCGCGTCTCACAAAAGGCTGAGCGAATGGTATATATTGCAAGGTAGAAGCATCATCTCTCAAGGCGTTCATTATTATCTTTTTCAAGATAAAGACCACCACTGCTGTCTTTTACTATCAGCTCCGCTTCACGTTGTAGTTGTACAGAACCTTTATTTAACTTAGCAGTAGTAGGCATATCCCTCATCTCATAATGATCAACCAAAGACAACTGTGAAGTATCATAATCATTATCACGAATATTCACTTTACCGTCAACTTCATCATTTTCAAACTCTTTAATAACAGAAGTAGACAATTTTGGTTCCTCCTCATAAATCATCAAAGGTTTTATATCTTCACTCTGACTAGTTATACTTTGTAAACTTGTTGAGTCAGAACTCCACTCTGAAGCAGTAACTCTATTCTGTGACACTCTATTCAACAATGGCTTACCAGTTGTAACTACACAATTCCTGACCGCACCGTTATCGTCACACAATTCGGAGTCAGACCTGGAGTTTACATTTAGCTTATCACTGAACTTGCTCACCGGTTCACAGTTCACTTCTGTATGCACCTCTTGCACACATGTAAAACAAAACCGTGTTTGTCTTGCATCTTGTAACTTATCTGTTGAGGATGTACTACGAAACTTGTTACACTCACCAGGTCTATATGCATTACTATACATCATGGAGCCTTCTCGATATCCACCTCTCTGAGGCCTACTCGTCATCAATGATTGCATTTTGATCTCAGACTGCTCTATTCTAGGGGTGAGATGTAATAGACTGGCAAACTTGCTCATCGATTGATTGACACTATCTTTTACTAGTTTCAGGATATCATCATATTTTGGATCGATATCGTCTTCCGCCATGCGGGAGCTCATCTTCACCCATTTCCTTTGCAGTCGAGTAGGTAGGCGTCTCGCCATTACTTCTAGTATAAAACTTGAGTTGAGTTTACTAATGCAATTCATAGAAATCAAGGTATTCTTGTAAGTCATAAGATTATCTAAAAACTCTGTAATTGCCTTGGAGTCATCTTGAAGTTGACTGCCGTTACCTTTGACAGCTTCGTATACGTTCTTTACAATCATTGAAGGTATTCCAAACCTTTGACGTAATATGCTCATAGCCTCATCGTAGCCCTCTTTCGGCTTCATAAACTTACAACACTGTATAGCTCTTGCAGCATCTCCAGTGCAATATCTCATCAAATACATTAACTTCAATTCATCACTTAATAGAAAACTACTCAACATGATCTCAAACTCCTTTACAAATTGTAAATAATCAGCTGGGTTTCCATCAAAACACCGTGGTTCTAATTTAGGGAGTTTGATGTTCCTATTATCCTTGAACGGCGAAACAATAACATCAACCATTTCATACTTAACATCAGACACATCGTTACAATTAACAGACAAGTCACAATGACTTACTTTCCTGTTTGCATCCAAGACACTCTGTCCCTTCTTTGACCCAGGCATTGTTGAACTTGAGCAAATTCCAAAAACGTTCCAGATATTGCTTGTTCAAAGAGGACTTGACCGGCACCAGGAAAGATGAACGGCGACTATCCAAACTTTCACCAACTGTTTCAATCCGCCAGATCTGTTTCCATCGTCAGAAACTGTCAATCACGTCTCATAAACCGTTAATGCCCATCTCTCGCTACGCTCGGGCCCACGCTGTTCGTTGAAGATTTCAGAAACGCTTAGTTATAACGGACGAAAAAACCAAAACACCGATTGGCCGCTTGAGATTTCTTTATTGTTACACTAACATATAAAAAGAATAAGTGAACTAAGGTCTGTGAACAAATATTACAATAATAAATCATTGTATTACTTCTGACGATGTTTCACTCTTCTTTCTGGACAGCGACCGATGAGACGATGACTGTCGTATTGATGCCTCCGCGAAAATTGGGGAAGTTGATTTTGAGCAAACAACCAAGAATTGATCGTTCAATCTTCAACTCCATTGACACCGGGCCTAAAATGCAGAGGCACAACCTAAGAAAATTATCTCTACTTGAATTTCAGGAATAAAACCTCCAATGGTATGCGAAACCTGATTATTGACAAAGATACAATCGAAGAAGATCAAGAAAAAGCAGAAGCAACGGCAAACTACTTCTCCTAAGTCTTCACTCAGGAGTCATCACTGCCTATAGGATCAGCTCTGGCTGCATCAGAAGAACATGGGATAGATTCCGTTGACATCGACCAAGGCATCGTGCTCAACTGGTTAATGAAACTAGATGCAGGGAAATCAATGGGTCCCGAAAATCTTCATCCAAGGCTTCTAAAGGAGCTATCAGCCCACATAGCCGACCCCTTAACCACGATCTTCAAGCTATCCCTCCTAAATGGAGTGTTGCCGCGTGATTGAAAAGACGCCATAGTAACCCCCATCCACAAAGGAGGATCAAGACAAAGCCCTTCAAATTACAGGCCTATCAGTCTCACCAGCACTTTAATCAAGACACTGGAAAGAATTATCAAGAAAAGCATCATGGCTTATCTGGGAAATAGCAGCTTGTTATCTGGAGCACAGCATGGCTTCCGGAGGAACCTCTCATGCCTGTCAAATCTCCTGACTGCAAGAGAAAGCTGGGTCGAATCAAGGGACAACAGAAGACCCGTTGACGTCGTCTTCATAGCCTTCAGTAAAGCCTTTGATAAAGTACCTCACAAAAGACTACTCAGGAAATTGGAAAGTCTTGGTATCAAAGGCAGATTACTAGACTGGCTCAGAGAATTCCTCATAGATAGGAGGCAGAGGGTTAGGATCAACTCAAAACTCTCCTCCTGGACAGCATTTAGTAGCGGAGTGCCACAAGGCACGGTTCTCGGTCCTCTCCTATTTATTCTGTATATCAATGAGTTACCTCTGCTCATCGACTCCCCTGTGGTCGTATAGGCAGATGACTTAAAAATTCGGAGAGATCTGAAGGGCAATAGTGGTACGTGCACGTTGCAAGAGGATCTCAACAAATTGTCCGAGTGGTCCAGAGAATGGATGCTCCCGATCAATGTGGCAAAATGTGCAACCATGCGCATTGGACAATCAAGCACAAGCTCCTACGAATTAGAGGAAATAACACTTCCATCAGTTCAGACTCACTTGGACTTAGGTGTCATAGTTAGCCACGACTTAAAAACTACAGCGCACTGTCGCGCGGTGGCTGCACGTAGTTTCAGGTCCTTATGGGCAATTCGCAGAGTCTTTACTAGAATCACCAGAGATATGTTCACCTCCTTATACACATCTCTGGTTAGGTCAAGACTGGAAAACTGCATCCAGGCCGCCAGTCCTTGTCTAAAAGGGGATTCACACATTCTAGAAAGTGTTCAAAGGAAGGCAACACGTATGGTTCACGGCATAGCTAACTTATCATAGGAGGAAAGACTAGACAGTTTAAATCTCTTCTCACTGTCATACCGTAGGCAGAGAGGAGATTTAATCACAATGTTTAAAATTTTAAATAATGACAACGGACCTGACCTATTCTCTCTTTTCCTTCCCACCAGGTCGGAACACCTTAGAGGACATAGCAGGAAAGTTCAAAAGCCAAGGAGAAATCATATTGCTGTTGAGTACTGGTTCTCACATCGAGTCATAAACTCTTGGAACCGACTCCCAGAAGAAGTGATGTCTGCAGCCCCAACTGATTCGTTCAAAAAAGGTTTGGACAACCACAGAAATCTACTAGAAAAGGATTAACATGGGCTCCAAGCCTTCTATCCTCAACCAATAAATCTTACATCTGAATCTGAAATTGGACCATAGCGCACCTTACAAAATTTTGCGGTACGGAGTTGTACACTTTGACTCCTAAGGTTGGTTGGTATTCTTTACGTCATTTGGTGACCCTCTGGTGATATTTTCCGTACTTATAAAAAGGAAAATTTCTTCTCTAGGTTTATGCGGTGGTATATATACATACTAGCTTCTAAAGTTTAAATTTTTGAAATATTCATGTTCCTACACGAGTGATGTGTGGATTTTATGTATATATTCGCTGATGAAAACTTAAACGGCTGCATACTGACCAATGCTGGCGATTATTACGAATATTTATCAGGTGTTTAATTGGATTCAGAGCCTTAGGCAAGGCGAATCTGTGTAGTGTACTCCAATATCCAATATCGTTTTTACGAGCTAGTATAAACCAATTTGATTTCTTTGTGCTCGCTTCTTGATTGTAGGGTATAGGTTCCTTTCTTCGGTTAAATTCTGCGTAGCTTGTCCCGCCACTCGACTGTCGTAGCTTTGATTGACTCCAAAGGGAGTAGTGCTTGGATTAATTATATGTGGTTTGTAGTATGAGGTGTGTTAAGACTGTTACTACTGTGATTGGAGTTGATCCTTTCGCCAGTTAGTCCTCCAGTATCGTCGACAAGAGAAAAGAGATAATAATAATAATGCTAATAATAGATGAAATTAGTGAAGTTATTCAGACTAAGAGACAGAAACGGAAATAGGAAAGCGTAACAACAGTCAGCTCATTAAGTTTGAATAATATATATATATATATATATATATATATATATATATATATACGTATATATGTCGGTAATAATAATAACAATAGCAGTAATAATTATAAGTTGTCAGGAAAGTAAGACGAGAGAGAATGTAAAGAAGTAAAACGACGAGTTTAATTGTCTACCCCTGAATGGTGTATGAGATTTTAAGGGGATAGGCCATTTGGATGCAGTCCCTGTGTCGCTGCATGGTTGTCCAGCCTTCGCTTAAAGGCATCCAAAGACGGTGCCGTAGCTACATTTGCCGGTAAGGAGTTCCAGGGACGGTACACCCGCAGTGAAAAGAAGTGGGGGCGCACCCGGGTCCTTGCCCTCTGGTGAGCTATCCTTCTGGGATTTCCACGTGGGAGCCTATGCCTACTCATTGGCAGAACACCTTTGTTTGGGTGATTCTGGTCATTTTTTATTTTGTAGACAGTAATCGAATCCCCCTAAGCCGACGGTAGCTAAGTGTGAACAGGCCTAATTTCTTCAGCCTTTCATCATATGGTTTGTTTCGGGGACCAACCACTCCTTTTGTTGCCCGTCATTGGACTCTTTCCAATAGGTTGGCGTCTCTTCTCAGCATTGGGGGTGCAATAATATTATGCACTTCAAGGTGTTGCCTGACGTATGTTTTGTACAACCTTAGAGCTCAGGAGTGAGTGCACTTACCTGTCTATGCGTAAGGTGTATGACCGCATATGCCCTCGCTACATCCCCTGTGTAATTTACGCTTGTGTCCATTTTTTCCGTTAGAACTAGACCTAAGTCGCGTTCCGAAGTTGTGCAGGACAAACTTTCATTGCACAGGTGTAACTTGTATTCTGCAGTCAACAGGTGCGCAACTTCACTACTTTGCACTTTTTCAAGTTGAAAGTCATGCCACTGGCCACCGCCCAGTCTTCCAGAAGGTTTAGGTCTTCCTGCAGCTTATTTGAGTCCTCCAGACACTTTATCGCCCTCCATATTTTTACATCGTCAGCGTATAGGAGAGTCGGGCAGCTTAGACGGCGTGGTAGATCATTGATAAAAACCAAAAACATCAGTGGTCCTAGGATAGAACCCTGCGACACTCCTGATGACGAGCTGTGCCAAGATGGTCGGACTCGGTTAACCTTAGTGCAAAATTGCCTGTCGGCTAGGTAGTCCTTTAACCATGACAGAAGTGGCTCACCTATACTTTCCTGGCTTATTTTATGTAGGAGGTCATGGTAAACAGTGTCAAATGCCTTCTCAAAGTCTAAGAAGACCACATGAACTGGTACATTCATATCCCAGCATGATGTCCAGTCGTCCCAAGCTGACAGTAGGTTAGTAAAGCAGGATCTGCCTTTTCTGAAACCATGTTGGACTTCATGTAGTATATTAGACCTATCGAAATATTCCCTGATGTCGTCAATAATACTTTCCAGTACTTTCGATACCACTGAGAGTAGAGCTACTGGTCTGATAATGTAGTGACTTGAATTAGTATGATTTTTTGTCTATTCTTCCTTTTCTGTGAGAAATGACGTTGTCAAGAGTGAATTTATTTAGGGGAATCATCAGTGTCTCTATGACGGATTTGGTTTGCTTTTCCTTGTACATTTAGATTCAGATTTAGGTGATAAGGATAGGAGCTCCTATCTAAATTTCACACGAATTTTAATCGCCTTCGATTTGAGCACCTTTTCGCAGTGAATCCGTAAATGTATCCTAGAAGGGAAGAAAAAGTGGGAAAGGTTAGTTCCTAAATCACCCTAAATTATACGGTATGCTAAAATAAAGTCGCCTCTCTTCCATTGGTGTGATTACGGAAAGAGATTTAAATGCTCCATTCTCTTATCATAAGGAAGGCGTGAGATACTACTAACTAATTTTGTTCCTACTCTCTGTACCATTTCCAGAATATGTGCCCCCTTTCTGAAGCATGGACTAACCGCTTGTATGCAGTATTTTAGATGAGGCCTGACATATGTTTTGTAGAGTAGACTCATGTAATCGTTTGAAGGCTCTTCAGAGTACCCATAGCATTCAAAAGCCTTAGCTACGGCTGCATTGGAATTTGTAGTTGTTTTCAAATAATTACTATGATTCCTAGGTCCTTCTGTCCGTTAACATCAGGTAGTTCTGTGTCCCCTAGGGAGTACGACGTATAAGACTTCTGACTTAAGTGCATTACCACACTTTTCCTAAAATTAATTTCCGAACTTCACAGGTTCGACCACTCAGCTAATTTATCTAGATATGCATATTGCAATCTTTAAAATAAATAAAGTAGAGGTATTGGTCTACATAGTTCACCTGTCAGTATGAAATTAATACAGGTTGGATAAAATGTACGATTAAATTCGTAATTTGATACTCTGTGTAGTTGTTCGAATAGTTTTTAAAAATTCGAAACTCAAACTAGCTTTAGTAATGGCACTAAGACTTTTAAATCTTTAGTAAAAGCTGTCATGTTATTGTTCGTGGTGCGCTTCCCTAGTTTTATCAGATAACTTCTGACAAATTCATCCCGAATTTCGAAGCCTGCTTTACTTACTCGTGTCTCTGGGGTTGTTATCTTCACTCCTCAGGTAATTGCTCTAGGTGATATGTGAAAAACTTGTTCCAGTTAACTTTTTGTAAAGCCTAAATATGGGAAAACGTTTGGAAGATCTCCAGATACAATGATGATGCGAAAATCCCATTGAAATTCTGTAATTTCCAACTTAATACGTGGTTCATGTGTAACTTATTCACATGATAGCTTGGACCTCTTGTAAACAACGGGTTTGTATTCATAATCTTATTTTTCTTCTTGTTTGGAGATCTCCCCTCCAGCTATAGGAAGTGAGTTAGAATACCATAATGTAGACCAGAGAATCCCAGTGTCTTAAATTTTCAGTACCAATAACAGAGTGTACCAACCTTTTCCTTATATTCCTACCTATTAAAGTATTTCAGTGACATTGTAGGTATTTACCAACAGGTGTCTGGAAGATACTTTTTTACGGCTAAGTTAAACTTTAAGCACCACTAATTAACAATGGAGTACGGCCGCAGCAATGACCGTGAAACGCTCACTTCACTCATCTTCTTGTCTACCTCTGTGTGCTATTTGGAACGTGGCAACTCGAACTGCTGCACTCCGGTGCCAAGTTCTATGTTGAATCCAGACAGACAGACAGACTGAGCAAGTTAATGAGACCTGGTAAGTAATCTTGTCATCATCAATAAAATATCCTCATCTAAGTGTCATGCTATTAAATGGTATATCTGGCAAGTTTCAGCATAGGTTTGTGAAAGATTAAGTTACGATTTAAGCCAACGACAAGTTAAGGTTAGGTTAACCTGATAAAGGCGAGATTAGGGTTGGTTTGAGTTAGATTACAGTTAGTTTGGGGGATATTTTGACGTTAAGGTTAAGTTCAGAGAAGATTAGGGTTATTGCAAGGGTTAGAAGACCTAAATAATTACATGCATAGAATGTGGTTAAATTACTCTGTTGATATAAGAATAGAACTTTTGCACTGTGGTAGAGTATAATTCCGTTGTAGATAAAATCTATTTTGATTAAGTCTTACAGTGTTATACAGTAGTACTTACTGATGACGGTTTTTTAGCACAATTTATTGCTGAGGAATCATTACTGTATTACACTATGAGACTTTATCAAAATAAATTTTACCCACAATGGAATTATTCTCTGTTGATACTCCAACCTAAAAATGAGAGCTATTTTTATGACATGTGGGAGCAAGGTATCCTCTGTAACACTTTTCTACAGTTTTTATGCATTTCTTTTTCATAAATATATGTATTCCATACACAAAAAAGTCTCCACGTGATTGGCATGTTCGAAGTCATTCGCTGATTGGTAGTTAGTGGTACTTAAAGTTTAACTTTGCCTGATGATGATAATTTACCTACTCGTCTCCATGCTAATACCCAAGTCTTGCAAACTCCATCATTATGATTTGTCGTGGTATATTTTTTTGTTATTCTGTTTCATATCAAAAACTGTAATAACTGTTATGATATTCTGTGCTTGTTTTGCTATTAATCATTGGTGGCTGTTTGCTGGTTTATTTATTTATTTAAACGCATAAAAACTTGGTACAATATGGCACCAAGAAGGATGCGCCACGCATATAATAATAATAAAACAACGTAGATCAAAAGTAAAAAAATATAAGTAGAGAACGGATAAAGAACTTTATCTGGAAGGAAAACAGTCATGCTTAACAAGTTCAAACAGTATTCGTTAACTATCATCGGGAAGGGAAGAAAGAAGGAAATTGCAACAGGTTCGCCATTGATTACGATTCTTTGCCATATCCGATAACGTTTTGAGCCATCGATTTGAGCTGTTGCTTTATTCACTTCGTTGTGTGGGGGCTGAAATACTGCCCAGGCGCCCAGACCGAAGCAGGTGGTTTTATTAAAGGGCCACTCCCCAAGCCTTTGACTTGGAGTCTAATCCGCAAGGCAGCAGAGCAGCGTCAGGAGCTGCATTCCCATGGTTTCCGGTGACCCATATGGGTTCATACGCCATTTGATCCGATTGAATACTGGAGCCCATGTACCCCATGGTAACTGCTTTTAGTTTAACCGCTATCCAAACAACCTTCCTGACATAGTAGGACCTGCAGGGGCATGAGTCCCAGTCAATTTAGCTTGTTGGGTCATTGGGGTATTCAAGCCCGACCACCACGACAAGGTAGCAGTTATCGGCCGGGCTGGTTTAGTTACATTAGAATTTATTCATTTTTGCAGGCATTAAGAGTGCCAAGTTAATTTTTGGTGTTTTCCAGTTGTTTTGATTAAATGTGATCACAAACTTTAACAGATCTTATACTTGACAGAGCAGATGTGAGGCTAAATCATTGTCAGGTATTGTCATATAGGCAGTTGGTAGGAATTCTGTTTCATTTCATAAAAGCCAAATTTCTCACTAAAGCAATGTTTAACTCAAGTGAGATTAAATAGTTTGCCAGTTATAGTGAGACTTTTTCCTAGTGTATCGTTGATGGCTATGGTGTGAAAAAAATAAGAAAATTGTGATTAAACTGTTTAACTTGGAAAGTTATCCAATGTCAGCACTTTCTGAAGCTGTTTTCGGTCTCTTAGGCTTTTGTATCACATCAGGAGATAACACCATCAGTTAGCAGTATTCAGGGGCGGTTGTATAGTATCCTAATATATGAACTAAAACCATTATCTGGAGTAGAGCTTAGTCACTCAGAAAAGATCCTGACTGACTGATTAATTTTCACAAGATGAAATACTTACTATCGATAAAATTTAGCAATTAGCTTATCAGCATACTGTAAAATATAGTTACTGAAAATAGATAACTTTCGCAGATCATAATCATTTAGTCATTAGCGTTTTTTAAGGAAGGCTATTTGTCATGTAGATTGTGGAATGTTGAAATGATACACAATGAAACATACACAGCGAGAGTGGAAGACATGAAAAAGATTAGCTGTCTTTGATTATAGGTACCTGCGCTCTGTATCCCGTGTGAAGTGGTATAATAAGGTAAAATAAAGTGAGCAATATTGAGGTTAGGGGTCGAATGCTAGGTAAGGAGGGAAAATCAGTCGACGAGGCTGTGAAGCTACATCGACTGAGATGGTTAGGACATGTGTTACGTATGCCTGGTCATCGCCTTCCTCGACGAGCAATGTAGGCGGATATAGGGTCAGGCTGGAAAAGAGCTAGCGGAGGTCAAACCAAAACATAGCTTCACCAGTCAATGAAATCCACAACAGTTGGTCTAAGCCACGTAGGAAGGTGTAGACTGGCTTCCTGGTTGGGGTCCTCGGGACGGTAAAAACCGATGGTTGGAAACAATTGGTGATATGGCTCAAAATCGTCCTCAGTGGCTGGTGAAGATGCATCCACTCCTTGTGACTTATGATTTCCAATGAAACTTTTGTTCTTCGTTATTACTCTTCCTTTGTCTCACACCTCTGCTTACTGTTTCTATTATGCATTTCTTCTACTTTCTTCTGTTGCTTTGTGTGGTACATGGAGAGGAGTGTGGTGACTTGAACTTCCGCACATATGTGCAAAGTTCTATGTCGAAAACAGGCAGACCGTGTTACATAGAAAAACGTGATCCATAAAATATTTGACACATGAATGCTGTGCTGATATCTTGCAGTACTTTCAGAGATTTCTTTTATCAGTTTCGAACGCATCAACGTATTCATCGTTGTTCACTGTCTAAAGAACATTAGCCAATAGGGTTTGGAGAGGTGAAGAAAGCTTCAAAGGGTGCTTATGGAAGTGTGTGAGCGGTTGTTACCTCCCGGCTGCCCACGTCTCAGAAGCTCCTGAAGCAAAGGACGTTAATATTGCATAACCGTAGAAGCCAGAGGATAATTGACTGATGTCGTTCGCACATGGCTTGTTTCAAGTGGTTCTTAGAGTTTCGTCCATATTAAAATCTTGCTGCCGGATACGGATCACCGCAAGATAAATTGGGATGTATAATTTTCGAGATCGACGTGTTTTCTAACCCCCCTTGGGATGGTTGGGTCATGTGTTACGCATGCCTAGCCATCGCTTACCTCGACAACGGAAAATGTTAGCTAACATAAGATGGGTTAAGTTGGAAAAGGTGAGTCGGTGGCACAGAGTTAGAATGCTCACCAGCCTCTCGGATGGTCCGGGGTGCGATCCCCGGCCGACGCACTCCCAAACCCCGCTTAGCTGGTAATAAACCATGCAAAAAGAGGGAAGGTTGGGTGTGAGACCAGCAATCCCACTTCGTAAAAATAAACACCACTTCAACCGAAACTTCAAAGCTCTAACTTGAAGCCCTATGTTCGATTAGGAACGCAAAGAATAAAAAAAGGCTGGAGAAGAGCTAGTGTCGGTCAAACCAAAACATGACTTCATCAGTCAATGAAATCCACAACAGTTAGTTTAAGCTGGCCAGTCAGCCACTGGGTGCTTGGAGTCTTGAGGATTGTGAGAAACAATGAAGGCTGGAGACAATTGGTGACAGCGCAGATGCATTCACTCTCTGTCATTTGTCAATCTTATCCAATAAAACTCTATTCTTCTACCATATTACTACTATTCTTTTCTCCTCACTCACACTTTTGTTTATTATCTCTCTTTACTTTCTTCACTTATTTTGTGTGGTACCTAGAGGGAGAGTGGCAACTGAAACTGGTGCACTTCTGTGCAGAGTTCTACATTGGAACAAGTCAGTCAGTCAGTCTACCCTGCGTGTTGCAGAACGAAGAGCCAGCATAACTGGTATGTTGGTCATCTGAAGAAAACACCTTACTGCTCTTACACATCCTTATTGGCCAGCAGTACGACGTCACCCACAGACTCCTTTTTTACTCCTTCACATTCCTAGTGGAACATAGGCCTCCAAGCTCAAGGCTTTAAGTGTCTGTGGCATTGTTTATTTTTGCAGGATGGGGTTGCTAGCCTCATGCCGAACGTTTCCACGATACCAGAATTATTTCTGGCTTAGCGAGGTAAAGGAGTGCCTTGTCGGTCGGGGATCGAACCCCGGACCGTGCGCATGGTCGGCGAGCGTTCTCACCGCTGTGTCACCGATGCGAATCCTCTATCAATAATGTTAACGGATTACACTGTGACGGTATCTGCTTTCAGTCTAATTGCTATCTGAATAACCTTTCTGACATAATGAGACTTACGAGGAAATCAGTTCCAGCCAGTATAGTTTGTTGAGTCATTGTGATATGCAAACCTGATCGTCATTGTTAAGGTGGAAGCTGTTAGGTGAATGGACTGATGAATTTCACGTCTTATAAATCTCTATCTTAACTCGTTAACTTTTTTTAAAAAATTCCATTTTAGATGAGTTCAGCAGTTGATCGTACTTCTGACTTTATTCGTTCTGTACAACTTAGTCGATCAAAATTAAATGATGCTGCCAAGTACCAAAATGATGATTTATCCAATAAATCATCAGCTAATGGAAGTCATACAACAATGGATTATAATTCACTTGGTGTATCAAAAATTCCCATAAATGATTCTATGTTAACCGATGAAAATAATCCTCTGTTGTATAAATCACCTGTATTAAATGGCCTACCAGAGACTCCATATCAATCCGTGAATAAAACAAATAATCCACTTACCCAACGTTCTCAGTTTATGAAAGCAGCTTCAGTTATTGGTCAAGATTTAGCGAATACATTTACTAAACTGGAACAGTTGAATGCATTAGCTAGAAGACAAACATTATTTGATGATCATAGTGCAGAAATACAACATTTAACTTATGTCATAAAAGAATCAATGGCTAATTTAAATAATAGGATTGCTACTCTACAAGAAATGACCAAATCTCAGGTGAGTTTAACAGCTGTTTAGAAGCAATAAGTAGATGTGATTTGTCTGTTTGAATCGTGTGTTTTGTGTGTGTGTGTGTGTGTGTAATGTTGTATATGCGTGCAACACTTATTTCGAATAATCTGATCCATTACAAACGGACTTGTCATCGGAATGTGTGCATATGAAATTAATAAAGAGTTAAGAGGTGAGAAAATAGACTACTTAAGTCAGGGCATAAGGACATATTGAAGGTCAAAATAACAATGAAGACCACTAAACCAAATAACAGAGGTAATAGTACATCTATCCTTGACTGGTATTAAAACAAAGTTTACCAAGGAAGGCTGTTCAGTGTGATGACGAATTGTTGGTTTGAACACATAAAGTTGGTTTAAACTTTCTAATTGTCAGCTGGGGCTTCCAAAAACCTTGGGATACTCTCCAAACACGTTTTATAGATAAATTTGAAAAATGTGTTAACGTCAATATCATTTCCTGTAGCAATAATTTGTTTCGTAACAGAGGAGCTGCGTCGCCTGTTCTCACCGTTAATGCGTTCTGGGGATTCCATTCGCTTTTGAAGCCATTCAGGAGAGTACGCTCTGAAGCCAGCTTTTACTTGCAGAGATCGATGAGTCCTCCATTTGTATGTGCGGCTACACGTACATTCAAATTGGTAAATACAGTGGAATGTGACATTTTTCGCATGTTCAAAGGGATTAGATGGATAGATATAATGGCTTGACATTCTCAATTATTATGATGTTAGCTGTATAAAAAGTCTTTTTAACCATATCAGCGTTCAATCTTTGTCTAGTTACCAAGCTGCTATGATGCCCCTCATAGGGTAACTTGATGTACACGTCTGTCTTAGGGGCGAGTTGGAGAATGGGTCTTGGTGTTCTGTCTATTTTATATCTCCTGACGAATTTTTCTGGATAATTGTTATCAACCAGAGTTTGTGTCAACTTTCTTTCTTCTTCATCAAGCGTGTCTTCAGTGCATATTCGTTGGATTCTACTGAAGAGGCACCTCATTCACCAAGGCTCTTTTGCACTGTACAGGGTAGAAACTGTAGTAAATAAGATACTGTCCTGTGCAGGTATGTTTTCTATAAATAGATCGCCTTATTGATCCACCAAGCTGTCGACTAAGCAATATGTCTACGAAAATAAATCTATTTTCTCATCTCTTAATTTTTTATTAATTTCATACATTTTCCTACGACAAGTCCGTGTTTGATGGATCAGATTGTTCGAAATGTGTTGCGCAAATATATCCCATATATGATGAGCCTTGTTCTGCCACCTCGGTTTTAAATCGAATGAATGAAGCTCATAATAGCAAGCGTATCTGGGTGTGCTTCTGTCTTCAATGAGTGATTGATTAGTGAGAGATTAGAAATTATTATTCCTATTATTTATTATTGTTTCCTTTAGTTCCAAGAGGAATATAGGGCTTCAGCCAAACGTCTCCGTTGAGTTCTGTTCTCTGCCAACATTTCCACCCGGCTCCACATCTGCCCACATGCTTTCATCTCGTCCCTTTCACATGACCTCCATGCCTCCATGTCACCCTCACACTGGCAATCAACTTGCCGCTTCTCATTCTTGTTCCACTCGAGCGATGGCCTGTCGTGTGATGTCACTTGGTGGTTGGTTTTCTCAGAGTATGGTCAACCCACATTCATTTCTTCTTGTATATTTCTCGCACGATTAGTTCCTTCTGTGTTGGTTCGTCCATTTGTAGAGATTTCTGTTGCTGATGTTTTCTGGCCGGCCATCTGATGTTGAGTAGTATTGAGCGAAGACACTTGGCTGTTGATGAAGGTGTGTAGTTTGTTTGAGGTGCTCTTCGTGACTCAGGGCCAAGTCTCTGATCCATATAGTTAGTATCACTGACTTCACATTGAAGTTGAAAATCCGGATCGTATTTTCATTTTCATGCTGAGTAGGGCTGTTGACCTCTGGACAGACTTGAGAGTAATGAAAGCTTGTCTTGCTTTCCCGATCCTCGCTGGTTTGATATCCTCGTCAGTTCTGCCTGCAATAAAAAAAAACACCACTGTTACCTGTGGTACCAGAGGCGTAGTGGTTATCGTAGTCCAGTAGTATTTGAAATGTTGGAGGCTGGGTTCGAGTCTCAGTGGGAACACCATCACTCACTCACTCACTCTCTGGAAATACAGGTAAATCTGGCTGACGAGTCTCAATTAGGACGAAATGCGCTTCTATTGGTTTCCACTGCTGGTCACTACCACCAACCAAAATAACATCAGTTGTCATGTCAACACAGTCAATCAATCAATCGATCAACTAGGAATACAAATTCACTTAAACAAGTTGTACTTCCATGAACGTTTTAACTTTGCAGTTAGACATTTTCAGCAGTTTTTCAAGTTTTTTTTTCTTTTTGTATAATGTTACTCTTCGGGATAAACTATTTTTCTTTACTTTTTTTGGTTTTCACTTATTAATTATAGGGATCTAGCAGTGGAAAACAACAATCAACTCATTCACGTTCTGTTCTAATGGTTCTGCAAACACGTTTAGCTAAAATGTCTGATCAATTTCGTGGTGTACTGGAATATCGTTCAGAGGATATTAAATCACAGAATGCACGTAAAAGTAAATATAGTTCAATTGATGATGATACATTAAATAATCCAAATACACAAGTAGCTAAATCATCACATGTTATTATTCCATCAGTTCTATTAAAAGTAAGAATTTATTTATTTTATAAAATGTATTACAATATGTGAGCTCTTTTTGTACTATAAAATAAATTGTTATTAAAGCTATACTGTGGCGACATTAATTTACGTCAGTATTTGCGCCCCCCAAATCTTGGTCATTAGAAAAAACAAACAAAAAAATAAAGCCTAAATCAACAACCAATCACAGCAGACTTTGCGTAGGCGGACATCATTCGCATATATATATATATATATATATATATATATATATATGGTCTGACCTTCAAAAAATGGCCACAAAGAGATGATAGAATAACTTTCAGCGATAAAAAAACAACCAATCAGAAGACGCTGTTTTTCTGATAATAATAATGTACATAAAAATATTTAAATACGTGGTGATTTCCTCAATAAACGAACTGTTGCCTGGCGTGTCTCCCCTGTCGTTACAATACTGCTTGTTCCTGAGAACTTTCTCATTGTTGATAGATGTTAGTAGGTAGAAACAAGTTACTTTTTGTCACATCCCACTGTATCTAAGGGTAGTTCTGCAACTGCTTTGCTTATTGAGGCTAGAGTCTTTTGAATGGGTGCTGTTCTTACTGCATTACCTTTTCCGCTTCTGACGTGATTCTCTTCATTCTGATGAAATCAGTTTTATTAAGTTTGCGCGTTACTTCCTAATCAGATTATATTAAAATAAAACGTAACCATCGAAAGTGAAAGACACGAAAAGCCTGGCTAGCTGTGTCCACCTTTTATCTCCCGTTTAAAGTGGTATAATAGAGTGAGAGATATTGAGGTAAGCCGTTGACTGGTCAGGTTATCTGTTATTTATGCCTAGCCTGTTATATTGTAAGTACAGAAGACAAGGGACAGGCAACAGTTCGTTTATTGAGAAAATCAGCAGATATTTATAGATTTTTAGGTACATTATTGTCAGCGGAGAAGCAACGTCTTCTGATTGGTTGTCTTCTTGCTTGGGGTTATTCTGTACTGCTTGTGACCCAACCGTTTCGTAGAAAGTTAAGCCATATATCTGCGAGTCGTATTTGCACGCGTTAAAATTGCTGTGATTGGTTGTTGAGTACCTCAGGGTTAAGCTTTTTTTATTGTTTTTCTCATGACCGCTATTCGGGGATAAACATTGACGTAAATTATTGTCTACAATTTTGGCTTGCAGACAGCTCTCATCACAAAATCTGCGCCGCTAATTGTTATGATGGTGATGAACTAATTAACTGATACTGTAATACTCCTCCTATTCGTCCATTGTACCCTGCCGCTTCACTGAGTCACTCAATTATCAAAAGACAAAGGCTGGTCTATGACTGTAAGATACTGTATATATTTATTAGGAAATAACACATGATCAAATAAAGTATAAATATATTTTAATAGTTTACACACAATGATAAGTTTTGTTATTGGTAATATTTCGAGCAAAATTACTGCCCGTGTTCACACCACTGTTGGAATTGTTTTATATTACCAATAACAAAACTTATCATTGTGTGTAAACTATTAAAATATGATTATACTTTATTTGATCTAATCCACAATGCTCAAACTTTTTACTGATATTAACTCAACACATGATATTTATACATTTTCTTTACCACAATAAAGTCAACTTACACCCGCAGGAATGGATTGTTCTTATTGGCTGGCAATAGCTATTCTGATTGGTTGGTGATCCGACAAAGACTAAGGCGAGACAAAAGATGATGAATTGATCTCACACACTAAATCACAATATGTGTGAGAAGTGATGGATTCATATAATAACTCCATCACAAGATAAATCACAACATCCGCAAAAAAGGATGATGATATACTATTTTATTCTGGTTCCTGTCATAGGTGTTGTCTTCCTCGAAGGGCAGTGTGTTAGCTAACATTCAATTAGGTTGGAAAAGGGTTAGGAGTGATCAAACCATGAAATAGACTGCCTGGCTGGAGTTCTTGGGATTCTAAGATCCAATAATAGTTGGAGACCATTGGTGATATGGCTCAAAATAGTTTTTAGTCGTGAAGATGCATTACTCTCTGTAATATCCCTCATGGTTCTCCATGTTAGTATTCTGTCTGTCTCCCATACACATATGCCTATTATGGTTCTTTTCAATCCCCTTCTCATCTCTTTCGGCTTCGTTTGTGTGCTACATGGAGTGTGGCAACTTGTGGTGCACTTCTCTGCAAAGTTCCCTGCTGAAACCAGTTAGTCAGTCAGTCATTCAATCATTCCAAAATGAATAACTTAATCAATAGTGGCTTAATGGTCTACGTGCTCGTCTGGTAACCGAAAGGTCTGTCTTTCTGGATTCAACATAGAACTTCGCACCGAAGTGCAGCAGTTCGAGTTGCCACGTTCCAATTGGCACACAAGGTAGACAAGAAGATGAGTGAAGAGAATCAATAGAGTTTGACAAATATAAGAGTGAAACAGAGTGGGTAATTGTAGAAAGGAATATGAAAGATTACAGAGACTGAATACATCTGCGCCATTGACAACGATTTTGAGCCATGTCACCTACTGTCTCCAGCCATTGATTCCTAGAGTCCCGAGGGCCCCAACCCGGAAGTCTGCATCTCCCTACCTGACTCAGTTTAACTGTCAAGGATTTCATGGATTGATGAGGCCATGTTTTTGTTTGGCCACCACTGGCTCTTTTCCAACCTGAACCTATATCAGCTAGCAAAGGCCGTCGGGGGAGGCGGTGGTTAGGCATGCGCAGCACGTGACCTAGCCATCTTAGTCTATGTAACTTTATAGCCTCGTCGATTGATTTTCCCTCTTTGCCCAACACTCTACGCCTAACGTCAACATTACTTATCTTGTGAAACCACCTAACGTGAGACAGAGATCGAAAGGTCCTGGGTTTAAACCCTTGGTGGTGGGTGCATACTGGTGAAGAGCTCCAAACTAGGACGAAACAGCTGTCCATTACTCCTAGCTGGTTTTCCAAAGTTCTCTAACCAATGTCAACTCATAATGAAATCCTGTAACCAATTAAAACCAAAATTTCGTACAAACCAATACTTGAAATGGGGTGTCTCTAAGAGAATTCGTTAAACCTGTTATTGACAGATATATTTGAACTCATGCAGGAAATTGTTGGACTCTCAGCATCTTTATTATTCTCAACTACCGCCTTGTATCTTCTCAGGTAAGACTAGTCGAACTGAAAGTTGGCACCAATCTACCCTGTTTCTGAGTATTGCTTTAAGTTACTTAGGCGCGGTGGTGAGGAAAAAAGAATAGTAATATGTAAGAATGAAAGTGGTGTATTGAATGTGAAAAATCACTTACGCCGAGTTGTCATCTGAAGTGGTGACGACTAGTCATGTCCGTCAAGGATGCCCATTATTCCCTTTTCTATTCAACTTCGTTATAGATGTACTACTGGAGTTAATCCTAATTCACTTCAGCGACTCAGGGATTGACTTGCTACCACCAAGGAATAATCCCGTTGACTTAGAATATGCAGATGATATCGTCCTATTAGGGGAGGTGAAGACGCTGACAAAATGCAGAGTCTTCTAAACACCTTGAGCTGCAGTCTACGAATGTTTGGCATGCTAATCGCTCCCGCTATCAAATGTAAGCTGCTGCTACAGGACTGGACCACACCGACTCCTAGTTTAGAAATAGGAAGTGAAGTGGTAGAGCACGTTGACCGCCTCACTTATTTGGGAAGTACTATCAGCCAGTGCCAACGGGTTGATCTCTGACGAAATCTCAGCACGGATACAGGGGGCTCGTTTCGCATTTGCCAGTTTACGCCGTCTCTGGCTTAGTAGGCGAGATATTCGACTATCGACCAAAGGGCGGGTGTACTGCTCATCAGTCCACTCCGTCCTCCTTTATGGCCAGATGTGAGACCTGGCCAATGAGAGTGGAATACATGAAAATATTGGCTGTCTTTGATCATAGGTGCCTGCGTTCTATCTCCAGTGTTTGGTGGTGGTATAATAAGGTGAGCAATATTGAGTTCAGGCATCGGTCGAGTGCTAGTTGGTAAGGAGGGGGAATCAATCGACGAGACTGTGAAATTACATCGACTGAGATGGTTAGGACATGTGTTACGTATGCCTAGTCATCGCTTTCCTCGACGAGCAATGTTAGCTGACATAGGGTCAGGCTGAATAAAAGCTAGCGGTGGTCAAACAAAAACATGGCTTCACCAGTCAATGAAATCCACAGCAGTTAGTTTAAGCCAGCCACGTAGGAAGGTGCAGACTTCCTGGTTGGGGTCATCAGGACGGTAAAAGCCAATGGTTGGGTACAATTGGTGATATGGCTCAAAATCGTCCTCAGGGGCTGGTGAAGATGCATCCACTCCTTGTGACTTATGAATTCCAATGAAACTTTTGTTCTTCGTTATTACTCTTCCTTTGTCTCACACCTCTGCTTACTGTCTTTATTTTGCATTATTTCTACTTTCTTCTGTTGCTTTGTGTGGTACATGGAGAGGAGCGTGGCGACTTGAACTGCCGTACATATGTGCACAGTTCTATGTCGAAAACAGACAGACTGACAGACACTGTTACAGCACCTCTTGGTTGACCAAGTGAACTGCTGCCTTCAGATGAAGAAATATGGCAAGTTTTGATGATGTTTATGCCTGAAAATATAAATTGAATTGATTATTGACTTTTATTATGTTTTCCTTTTCTACTTGCTCACTTATATACTTTGCTTATTTAAAAAAAAACAATTATTATTAAGGATGATGAACGTGCCAGAGAAGCTTTACTGTCTGGTAGCCAAGGCAATGATGGATTAGATGGTTTAGGCAGTTTTGTACCGCCTACCTTGCCTATGAATTCAAATTTGGGGTTTGCTCAAAAACACGTGAGTTCAGATCAAACGGATACCTATTTAGCCTCTCGGGCGGATACAATGCGAAGTATTGAGCATACAATTGTGGAATTGGGACAGATATTTCAACAGTTAGCTACTATGGTGAGTTAAATATATATATATATATATATATATATAATTATATATATATATTGTAATAATTGCAATTATAATTTCGATTTTTTTTTTCGTTTGTGGGTGTTTTGCAGTGAAATGTAGAACTGATATTTTATCCTATTTGGGATTTTTCCGGTGAATGTGTGTCTGTGTCTGCGCCTCTCAGTGACTGACAATGTTCTTACCGAGACATAAATTCAGTACTTTAGGTTTTCAAGCTGGGAGTACTGGACATCTGTTCCTGTCTTCCTGCTTGTTTGGGACTTCTCATCAGTACGCACCCGCCGAAATCCTGAAAATCGATACTTGAATATTAATCTGATACTCACTGGCAACTGAACTCATTCAGGTAGGTAACTGCGTGGATTCTAGTGGGAAATTGTGACCAGTGGGGTGGGTTACAGCAGGTCGGATGTCAGGACAAATACTCACCACGGCGGATGACATTGGCTAGTGGTTGCCCTTTGTTGTGAATTGGCAGAAGTTGGAATTCATGGGCCGGCTAGTGGATCGGCTCCCAGTGGCTTAACGGTCCGCGAGCTAGCTCGTGTTGTAACCGGCAAGTCCACATTTACAGTATAAAGTCAAAAATATTCGAATCACGAATTGAGAGCATTAAGTGTAATAATAATAATCTGTCTGTCTGGATTCAACATAGAACTTGGCACCGAAGTGCAGCAGTTCGAGTTGCCACGTTCCAATTGGCACACAAGGTAGACAAGAAGATGAGTGAAGAGAATCAATAGAGTTTGACAAATATAAGAGTGAAACAGAATGGGTAATGGTAGGAAGGAATATGAAAGATTACAGAGACTGAATACATCTGCGCCATTGACAACGATTTTGAGCCATGTCACCTACTGTCTCCAGCCATTGATTCCTAGAGTCCCGAGGACCCCAACCCGGAAGTCTGCATCTCCCTACCTGACTCAGTTTAACTGTCAAGGATTTCATGGATTGATAGGCCATGTTTTTGTTTGGCCACCACTGGCTCTTTTCCAACCTGAACCTATATCAGCTAGCAATGCCCGTCGGGGGAGGCGGTGGTTAGGCATGCGCAGCACGTGACCTAGCCATCTTAGTCTATGTAACTTTATAGCCTTGTCGATTGATTTTCCCTGTTTGCCCAACACTCTACGCCTAACGTCAACATTACTTATCTTGTGAAACCACCTAACGTGAGACAGAGATCGCAGACATCTATGATCGAAAGCAGTCAACCTTTTCATGTCTTCAACGCGTATTGGCCATGTTTCAGAGCCATAGAGAAGGACGGAGCGAAGAGCTGAGCAGTACACACGTCCCTTGGTTGATAACCGGATGTCACGCCTACGCCAGAGATGGTGTAAGTCAGCGAAAGCAGCTCGAGCTTTTCGGATCCGTGCTGAGATTTCATCGCCAATCAGTCCGTTGGTGCTAATACAACTTCCCAAGTAGGTGAAGTGGTCAACATGTTCTATCACTTCACTCCCTATCACTAAGTTAGGGATTGACGGGGTCCAGTCCTGTAGCAGCATCTTACATTTTGCAGGGGCGAATCGCATGCCAAACATACGAAGATTGCTGCTCAAGGTGTTCAGAAGACTCTGCATTTTGTCAGCATCCTCTCCTAACAGGACTATGTCATCTGCATATTCTAAGTCCATTAGATTATTCCCTGGTAACAAGTCGATTCCTAAGTCACTACGTTCAGTTAAGGATACTTCCGTTAGCATATCTATGATGAAGTTAAACAGAAATGGGGAAAGTGGACATCCCTGTCGGATGTCGGATAAGAGTGAGTTTGTTTCAAACAGTATTGTCGATTCAGTTTGGAAATTTTAATATTATAGATTACTGAATCTAATGTTCTGTTGATATAGTAAGGTGAGGGAAATTAAATTAACAGCCAAAATGATGTTCACACTTATGAAAACATGAACAAATAAAAACAAAAAATTGAGAGGATTATAAATATAAGAAATACAATAACAACAAAGTTTGATACTGTGAGGGTGAAAGAAATGGTTTATTTAGTAGTGCAAAGAAGGTTAGTTAGTTCATGCCTAACACCAATTTCATCACATAAAGTGCTCGCCAAATATGGTATGGTGGAATTTTTATACTTACACGTACATGCATAAAGTCTTTTGATGAAATGACTTCTTGTTTTACCTGAGGAGGAGACACAAGGTTGGAGCTGCGGGTAGAGTGGATGCTCAGAGTCTGAGAAAATTCTTTTAGCAAACTTATTGCATGACATCAAGTGTTTATCAGTGACAATGTCAACTATATGGCCGATGTCAACTCACACCACAATCCTGTAAATAATCAAATCCCCTGTAAACCAACACCTGAATAACATTTTAAACCAATAAAGTTGTGTGAGAATAAAATTCACTGATTTGCACAGTTACTGTTACTAGCTAGCCCTTTGATCAATAGCGGTAGCGCGAGTTCAAAACCTAACTCTCCCCCAGATTGAAATTTTGTGAGCAAACAAGTACACTTCATTAGTTGTCATATATACAGTATTGGTTTTTGTAGGGATTTTGTTTTGATTGCATGGAGGATTTAATCATGAGCTGACATCAGTTAGAGAACCACTGGAAAACCTGGGAGTACTGGACAGCCGTTTCGTCCTAGTTTGGGACTCCTCAGCAGTACGCACCCGCCGGGATTCGAACCCAGGACCTTCTGGTTACAAGGCGAGCTCGTAGACCATTGAGCCACTGGGGCCCGATCCAATGGTTCTTCAATTCTAACTTCTGCCAATTCACGACATAGCGCGACCACTTCGCAATGTCTTCTTCGATAAGTTACTGCCTCATCTTCAACCTGCTGTACCCTACTGGTCACGGCTTCCCACAAGAACCCCAGGTTAACTGCCTGAATAGGGCCAGTCACTAGTGAGCACAGATCGGGTCCCAGTGGCTCAATGGCTGAGGAGTCCCAAACTAGGACGAAACGGCTGTCCAGTACTCCCAGGTTTTCCAGTGGTTCTCTAACTGATGTCAGCTCATGATTAAATCCTCCATGCAATATATACATAGTTGCGACTTTTCAGTCATCTAGGAAAGTTCATGAAGATGGTATGTTGAGATTATGACTACGTAATTTTTAGAGGACCACCTACGGAGCAGAAGTTCTCTCCCTCTCTCTCCATATATATATATATATATATATATATATATATATACTAACTGCACCTCTGGTCAATAGGTGTTCGAATCTCAGGAGGGACATGATTTCTTTTGAGCATTGCCTATGCACACCTACAGACATGAAACTTAAGTTTAAAACTTCCTGTCAATCGCACCCAACCACATAACATGTGCTAATTTATTAGAATACAAGATTATTAGGACGGTGTTCATAGTGTCTGCTCCAGTGATGATGTGTACGATTTCAAATAATGAAGAAGATTTATAGCTCGTATGTTCATTTCTTAGTGTTGCTCAGACAACACAACCGCAACAAAATAAAATTATGCCAGATGACCCATTTATTTAGCTGACTTAAGTTTGATAATGGCAGAATGTGTATTGTATGTGTGCTAGGCTACCACAAAGGAAGAACACACATTATATTATATTGTTAAAGGTTTTTTTGTTTTCCATTTTTCCGGGCAGTATTTCCTCCAGTGTCCTGTATTTTTTGCCACATTCAAAGCACTTGTCTCTCCTGAAGTTCATCCTTAGCGCCATTACTTCCTGTTGCAGTTGTACGATTCCTTGTTCCTGCCGATCCATTTTTTTGCCACTGTATTGTGTTGTGTTCGACAGCTGTCTAGTCACCTTTGCTAGCTTACCAATATCCATGAGTTGTGAAGCGTTAACCAAATGTAGTTGTTGAGAAATGTGGTCTAGAACACTCTTGATGAAATGGGATGTCAATAATTGTGACTCTGATTCTTCATCCAATGTGGGGAGTGCTCGACTAAGTAGATTCATCAGCTTCAGCGCCAGCACTAACGGTTTATGGTCAGATCATAGCTTCGTGGTACGGAACTGCTGCATTGCCTGCCACCTGCCCGTTGGGCGGACGAACTCTGCTACCAACCGTTCCACCAACAAATTACAGCCGGCCTGTCTACTCTAATTGCTCCATGCTGGCGTTGGCTGGCTTTACTCGACCCTCAGCAGCGTGTGACTTCACCGTCGGAGCCTTGACACCCAGCAACTCAGTGATAGCACTGAAGTTCCACACAAAGTAGCGTAAGTCTCGAAAGCAGTAGGCCTTAGAATCTTCATTGCATGGAAGCAGTGATATCAACTGCAACAGGAGGAGACAAGAGACTTGTTAATGAAATGTTTGTTTGCAATTTGATTTGTATATATATAGGGGAATTATGTATACCATATATATTAAGGTCGTCATTTAAACAAATCTCCCGTATTGTGCTACTTCTGCGCTTCTTCTCGTGTCTCCAATGTTTTGCTGCAATAAACTGGTTCATTTCTCCTTTTGACGTCAGGTCTCTTCATCTATCTCTCCGCTATTTGATTTTCTTTGTCTTTTATATACTACTGATAAGTCCTGTCAGTAGTAGCACACATGACAATAATACTTACAATTTTTTTTTATTAATATAATATTTTTTGAAATTTTATTAGGTACATGAACAAGATGAATCAATACGTCGTATTGACGCTAATGTTGATGACGCTGCTTTGTCAGTTGAAGCTGGTCATTCAGAGTTAATTCGTTACTTTCGTTCAATTAGTTCAAGTCGATGGTTGATGATTAAAGTATTTTTTGTTTTAATTGTATTCTTTGTGATATTTGTTGTATTCTTTGCTTAAAGGAGAACCAAACAGACAAACAAGCAAAAAAATCGATTCCTACATCCTCAACCCCCCTACTTATAATTGACTCCTTATTTTCACTTTTCCTACACTTTATAATGACACATTAAGAAAATCATACAATAGGAAAAATATGTCACACCTTGTATGTTGTATGTAATATATATATAATATAAGAGAGAGAGAGAGAGAGAGAATACCAAAACAGTGCTGAAATAAACAAAATGAGAAAATCCATCTTTGACCAGTGGCTAATTAAGGTGATTAATACCAATAATCAGCTGATTCACGCTAGCTAATGTCAGCATATTTGCAACCAACCAATCAAAAGAAATGCGTCAGTGTAACGCCTACGCACTTTCTAGATAGTTGACACGTTCTCTAATTGGTAGATTTTATTTTGCCTAATGTCAGTAATCAGCTGATTATTAATGCCTCTTTTTTTACGCCACGGTTTAATTTTTGTCATCACTTGTCTTTCATATAAATTTTTTATAATGATATATATATGTATTCATCCTTATGTGACTAAAGTTTTCTTCATGGGAATATGAATTCAAATGACCAGAGGAATTGTTCTGCTTTGTTTTCAATACTGATTTTAATTGTCTTTCTAGTCCCCCCCCGTTATTTCCTATTTCTTTTGTATCTCCAGTTGTTTTTTTTGTTGTTGGTGTATTTGTTGGCTTTCTTCACAGTTTTCACAATACTACTCATATCGGTTAATGAATTAATCAGTAGTGTGTATGGCAGGCAGTGTACACTTTTTGTATCATTTATGAAATTTGTGTACAGATTGTTGTGAATATTGATTTACTTGTTGATTTGACCTTGCGTGGTTGAATTGTCTGTCTGTCTATCCACCCATCCATCCACCCGTCTGTCTGTCTGTCCGTCTGGTTATCTATTCACTTTAATGCCTCATCCAAGGACATGTTGTGTCTACAATGTTTCCGCATTATCAATTCAGCCTTTCAGATACCAAATTGTATTGTAAAATGTTCTTTCAGATTCTTTATTATTAATTAATATAACTATTATTATTACTATTATTACTTGATAAAAATGAGTACTACTTGTGGAAGAATATCAGTAGAGTGTTCAGTGTTTCAATGTCTGTTCCAATGTCTTTTGGCGTATACAGTTGCTTTTTTTCATATTGAATGCTAATCTGTATTCGTTTAGGAGTTGGATGACATTAAAAAAAAATTTTTGCTACTCTTATGCGGTGAAAAATGTCAATTCAACAGAGATTACATCATTTAATCGTATATTTGCAAACATTTGTTTTGTTTCACCTTGGTTTCTATGATGTGTTATTCTGGAATAGAGTGTGTGTGTGTGTGTGGTATGCGGAAGGGAGAGACTGAATAAAGGAATTGTGATTGCTGTTGGTTTGAAGAGTTATTGTTAAATCGTTATTATAACCATTATTATTTATTTTCTACTTGACCTCAGTTCTCTATTGTTTTCTTCTCTCGTGTCGTTCATGGAAGAAAGATGAACAATTAAAATAATGGAATTTCTTTTTGTACTGATTCATTCTTTTCCCTCTTCTTTGGTCATGAAATGACCTATCAGTTGGTGGGGGGGGGTTGGATTATTGAAAAGCAGGAAGCATTGAGTGGAAAGATGTTTTGTCCTAGTTTGCGAGTCTTCATGGCGGGGAAGAGGGCGTACTAGTTATATCTTCTGTTTGTCTGTCTGTTTTCGACATAGAACTTTGCACCGATGTGCGGAAGTTCAAGTCGCCACACTCCCCTCCATGTACCACACAAAGCAACAGAAGAAGGTAGAAGAAATGTATAATAGAAACAGTAGACAGAGATATGAGGCAAAAAGAATAGTAACAACGAAGAACAAAACAGTTTCATTGGAAATCATAAATCACAAGGAGTGGATGCATCTGCGCCAACCATTGAGAACAATTTTGAACCATGTCACAAATTGTTTCCAACCACTGGTTTTTACCGTCTCGAGGACCCCAACCAGGAAGTCTACACCTTCCTACGTGGCTTAAACCAACTGCTGTGGATTTCATTGACTGGTGAAGCCATGTTTTGGTTTGACCGCCACTAGCTCTTTTCCAGCCTGACCCTATATCAGCTAAAATTGCCCGTCAAGGAAAGCGATGACTAGGCATACGTAACACATGTCCTAACCATCTCAGTCGATGTAATTTCACAGTCTCGTCGATTGATTTCCCCTTCTTACCAACTAGCACTCGACGGATGCCTGAACTCAATATTGCTCACCTTATTATACCACCACCAAACACTGGAGATAGAGCGCGGGCACCTATGATCAAAGACAGCTAGCCAGCCTTTTCATGTCTTCCCCTCTCAGTGCCCAGGTCTCACAGCTGGCGATAAAAGGAGGACGAAGCGGACTGATGAGCAGTACACCCGCCCTTTGGTCGATAGTCGAATATCTCGCCTACTAAGCCAGAGACGGCGTAAACTGGCAAATGCGAAACGAGCCCCCTGTATCCGTGCCGAGATTTCGCCAGAGATCAACCGGTTGGCACTGGCTGATGATACTTCCCAAATAAGTGAAGCGGTCAACGTGCTCTACCACTTCACTTCCTATTTTTAAACTAGGAGTCGGTGTGGTCCAGTCCTGTAGCAGCAGCTTACATTTGTTAGCGGGAGCGATTAGCATGCCAAACATTCGTAGATTGCGGCTCAAGGTGTTCAGAAGACTCTGCATTTTGTCAGCGTCTTCACCTCCCCTAACAGGACGATATCATCTGCATATTCTAAGTCAACGGGATTATTCCTTGGTGGTAGCAAGTCAATCCCTGAGTCGCTGAAGTGAATTAGGGTTAAGTCCATTAGTACATCTAGGATGAAGTTGAATGGAAATGGGGATAATGGGCATCCTTGACGGACACGACTAGTCGTCACCATTTTAGATGACAACCCACCGTAAGCCCTCACCTGACTGCATGAGTACAAGTAGAGTGCCTTAATCAGTGCAATGTATTTTCTCGGTATTCCCTTTACAGCCAAGCATCGCCAGAGAACCTCTCGGTCGATAGAATCGAATTCCGCCTTTAGGTCAAGAAATATGATTGTTGGGCGCTGGTAAGAGTGCCTATGTTCTAGAATCTATCGGAGGGTGAAGATATGATCAATACACCCTCTTCCTGGTCTAAAGCCTGTCTCGCTCTCTCGTGTATGTGCCTCCCTAGCACCACTAAGTCAACGCATAATTATTGAGCCTAGGACTTTAGATACTTGATATATATCCATATAATATGTGTGTTTGTTTGACAGTCTGTATATTTGCTATGTATATATGGATCGATATTCCATTATAATTAGCCAATCATGTTAAGACTGTCTATTGATTTGTTCATTTTGAATATTCGCTCACACACTTTCGGACATTCATATATTTTTGTGACATTTTGATTCTCTTGGTGTTTTGGAAAATAGAAGTGTCATCGAAAACCTAGTGGTCTTCTGATTTCCGTCTTTCTTGCGTCAGGACTATTAAATTCTCGACCAGTGCATAACAATACTATATTAGTCAAGCTAATCCCTCTGTGATTATCACATGATGACGTGTCTCCCTTCTTGTATATGGGGATAATCAGTGACTTACACCAATGCGATGGAACTTCGTCTGATTCCCAGATGCTACTTAGAACCGCAGTTAGTGCATACAGTAAACTGTCTCCACCGTACTTAAATACCTCTGGAGTCATTCCATCAGGTCCCGCTGCTTTGCCTTGTTTCAGATTGGTGACAGCTTTAGAAACCTCAGTTAGGGATGGAGGACCTGTGTCTATACCCCATTCAGGGAGGTGTTTGATGCTCGGAAGGTTGAGCGTGGCTGTGGGCCAATTAAACTGCTCCTCATAATGCTCTTTCCAGCGATCTAGTCGTCTATCCTGGGAGCTAATTATAGTGCCATTTTTCTCCGAGATTGTTTCACTTATTATTTGCCTTCTCCCACTCGTTTCCCTGACGAGTCTTAATAGTTGCCTAGTGTTGCCCATCGCCGATGCTTTTACCATCTCTCTCGCCTTTGTCATCCACCATTGTTCACGGTCCTTGCGGAGACTTTTCGTAAGTTTCCTTTTGTGCAGCTTTCGCTCCTCATTGAATTCGGAACTCGCCGGAATAAGTCTTCTAGCATCTATCAGTTCGGATGAGGCAGTCGAAATCCAGTGGTTTTTACTCACCTTTGGGTTTACTTTATTCACAGCTTTTACAGCTGTATCTATAGCTGACTGAATATTCTTCCAAGCTTCTTCAGGGTGAAGGTTATATCTTCACCCGTTGACAGATTCTGGAACATAGACTTACTTACCGGTGTCCAACAATTGTCATATTTCTTGACCTGAAAGCGCCATTCAATTTCGTCGACTGAGAGGTACTATGGCGATGTTTCCGCTGTGAAGGGAATGCCGAGAAAATACAATGCACTGACGTTGGCACTCTGTTCGAACTCATGCAGCCAGCTAGGTGAGAGCCTACAGAGAGTTGTCTGACAATTGCGATGACAACCACTGGTGTCCGTCATGAGGGATGTCCACTATCCCCATTTCTATTCACTTTCATCAAACATATACGCTAGTGGAATTAACACTAACTGACTTCAGCGGCTCAGGGGATTGACTTGTTATGGCGGAAAATCGTTCTCAATGACAGCGCAGATACATCCACTCCTTGCGATTGTTAATATCCAATAACAAAAAGTGCGTGAATGCATCTGCACCACTAACGACAATATCATGGCATATGACCAGCCCCTGTGGTTCTTCGAATCCCGGGGATCCCGACCAGGCAGTCTACACCTCCTTAGGTGGTTCAAATTAACTGTCAAAGATTTCATGGATTCATTCTAGGTTTTGATTATTCCACGGTTAACTCTTTTTGCGATCTGATCCAGTGTCGGCTAATATTTCTTGTCGAAGAAGGCGATTATTAGGCACTTGTAACATATGTCCCAACTATGTCAGTCGATGTAGCTTCACAGTCTGACCGATTGACCTTCCGTCCTTATGTGTTATACTCCACGCCTAATCTCAATATTACTCACTGTATTATACCACCTGAGATGAGAGATAGAGGGTTAAAGATGGAGGGTTTTCGTCTGTCTTTTGAACGCCCCTTTACTCTCTTCTCTTGCTTTGTGTGCTACAGGGAATGTGGTAAGTCGAATTGCTGCCCTTCTGTGCAAATTTCCATGTTGAAATCAGTCAGTCAATCAGAGGTGGAAGAAGAAATTCACAAAATTTTACAATCAAGTAGCGATGGCCAAAGTAATAGACAGGCTTAGCTACTTTGGATGGATTCCAATGGCTCCAGCACTGTATGGAGATACCACTACATACAGACAACTAGGGACATTAGTTCTACCATTCACACATTCACTGTACTTAGAACACAAGATATAGATACAAAGTTGGAGGCGATTCAATTCACTTATGAATTGGAAAGTCAGGAAAAGGAGCTTCCAATGTTAGATTGTAACGTAAAAAGGAAAGAAGATGGGATGTTAAACACACTAGTGTGTTTACAGGAAACCCACACATTCAGATAGATATTTAGACTTTGGATCATCCCACCCACTTTGTCAGTGAAAATAGGATAGGTAAAATATTTAAGTGACAGAGCACAAAAACTAAGTAGTACCAAGGAAAATCTAAGACAGAAACTGAGGCATCTAAGAGAAGCCTTGGAACTTAATAATTACCCTGATAAATTAATCAGGAAATATGTAGGCAAATGTAAAAATGAAATAAATAATGATAGTAGTGATAGTTATAATAATAATAGTAATAATAATAATAATTATATTAATGACGACATGCAAGTCAAATAATAATAATAATAATAATCACTTTATTCCACAACAATAACAATTTACAGCATGGAATTTTCAGCGTTTCTTTTACATATTGCAATGGTTTAGCTCTGTTTATAATTATATAAATATATAAAATGTTAAAATATTGATAGTTAATAGGAAAAAATAATAAAAAATAAATAAATAAAAATAAAAAACCCAACAAAATCATACCATTTCTAGGTCATAGTGAATAATAAATAAATAATATAACAAATAACACTTGCATTAATATGCATCATTTCATTTTATAGTTTAGTTACTGATTCAAAAGTTGTAAAAGTTCTTTTCTGATATTTGTCTCTTCACACAATACTCGTGCCAAATATGGAACGGTCGAATTTTTATATTTTGTAGTACGAGCATAAATGTTTATAAAATTTCTTCTGGTCTTACCCGAAGAGATACAAGGAAACAATTGTGAATAAAGAGGATGTTCACTATCAGATAAGATAACTTTAGCTAAGTGTTTACAAGAATTCATATGCCTATTGACAACAGTGTCATTTAGTTCAGTCAAAGGGATAGCACTGACCCTACTTACAGCCCTCAATGTTCTTCGTAGTATTATATGATCTTTCTTGAGTAGCCCAGGGAAGAATAATGGAGAACAATAAAGAATGATGGGCAAAACACATGAATTAATAAATTGTATGATAAGAGATTGAGTTATACCTGAGTGTCTCAACTTCTTTATGTAATAAGTCAGACGGAAAACTTTCTTAGAAACTATAAGAATATGAGACGACCAGCAAAGATTTGACGAGAAACTAATGCCAAGATAAGAAACACTT